CACAGAAACAAAGCGTTATATTTTAGTCTAAGTAATAAAAAAACTAATATATTACTTTTTGGCATAATAATTTTATTATTTCGAACCATGTTTTTATAATAACTATCGTGAGACATACTAAATTAAGTAAAAACGCGGGTTACTCACGTGAATATACTGAGCAAAGCTCTACTAGTTTCGAACCACAGAGGGGTTCTTCCTCATGAGCAGCGTGCGCGGTCGCGGCGACGTCGCGCAGCTCACTGGCTGGCGTTGGCGCTCGCCTCGGTGTTGCCACCTGCGCTGCGGGCCCAACGCGCCCTCTGTCGGACACTACGAGCGTTTGCTTCCAACTCCGGCAGCGCGTTGGACGAAGCTAAAGCGCACGGTACGTTCACCAGCGGCGCGGGTCGTGGGTTCGATTCCGGGTTCGGCACAAAGTCAGTGTTGCATATAACGCTTACTGTGTCACACTCCAGACTGGAGACGCTGTGGATCGACGAAGACTCCAAGCTCGGCTTCCACGCGGGTGGCAGTGCCCAGCCACCATCCCTGTTGAAGCACGGTCGTCGGCTGATCTCGATGGCCTCTCGCACTTTTCGCGGAACGAAGTATTTTTCTCTCGCTAGTACGGAGACCTTATCAAAACGTATGAAGTGAGCCGCGTCCGTACCACAAACATGTTCAGCCACTGCCGATGCCTGGATGTCCATCTTCTTCACGCTGCGTATATGTTCCTTTAGCCTGGTTGTGATGTTGCGACGAGTTTCCCCGATGTAACTCGAGCCACAGTCGCACGGTATTATGTACACTCCGGGTACAGCCAGTGGATCCTTATCTTTAGGTGAGCGTAGTAGTTGTCTTAGCTGACCGGGTGGGCGGAAGATCGTCCTGATGCAGTATTTACGGCGAAGCAGGTGTCCGATTCTGTCGGTTACTCCTTTCACGTATGGTAAGAACGCTGGAGTCCGTTCCGCAACTGCCGGTCGCTTCCTACTCGAGCTGCTCGCAAGTCGAGTACATTGACGCCAGTTGTATCCATTGTTTTCCAGTACCCGTTTTAAGTGGTGAAATTCGTCGTCAATATACTGGGGATCGCATAGACTCAGCGCCCGGTTTATCAAGGTCCGGGGAACAGCGGCTAGATGGGAGGGATGATGGTGTGAGTCAGCTCGCAAGTACCGGTCCGTGTGTGTCGGTTTACGATACACTGTGTGTGACAATCGACCATTTTCTTCTCGTCTTACGAGGACATCCAAGAACGGCAACATCCCTTCTCTCTCTTCTTCAGTGGTGAATTGTATACTGCCGTGCACCGAGTTCAAGTGTCCCACAAATTCAGCCACATGTTCCCGGTTGACGATCGCGAACACGTCATCAACATACCTCCACCAATGTCGCGGTCGTACCGGGGCGGATGCCAAGGCCTGACCCTCAAACCACTCCATGTAGATGTTAGCCACCACCGG